GACTTATTTCCCTCACAGCCTCATCAGCATTTGTTATCATTAGAATTTTTGATTATAGTCAGTTTTGGGGGGATAAGATGGCATGTCAGTATAGTTTTAATTTGCATTTGTCTAGCTGTTATGTATTTATTGACCATTTGTATTTCTTCTTCTGTGAATTGTCTAAGTGCTTGATTTATAGATTTAACAGACTGATAAAAGACCCTTTGCCAAGAGGAGTGCTATTTTTTTCCCACAGTTTTGTAAGGAAATTAACACAAGCTATAAAGTGATACAGAAAGGGTGCTTGTTTTCAACTCAGAAGTATTTTTTCCTCTATTAGCATATATAACTTGTAAAAATGAACATTCAGCCAGTGACATTTTTACCCTTACATTCTTATTTTACTACTGATAAAACTAATTCTATATACTAACATTAAGCATTTAGACTTTATAATCCAAAGAAAAAGAATAAATTTTTAGATAAAATATTTAACTTATAGGTATTTACCAACTACATAGAAACTGACAGTTTCCAGGTTTTTTTAGGAAAGTGTATGGATTCTGCACTCTTACACAAACCCTCTGTGGATCTCGAATTCTCAGTTCTGTGGTAATGGTCAGGCTTTAAAATAATATTACCATTTTTGGATTGGGTCTTTAAATTGGGAGGTCTAACTTTTTTAAGTTCATTAGGGTGGGAGTGTAGACTGGTGCAACCGCTGTGGAAATCAGTATGGAGATACCTCAGAAAACTAGGATTAGAGGTCCCATTTGACCCAACTATTCCCCTGCTGGGTATCTTCCCCAAAGAATTAAAAGAATCATACCACAGTGAATCAAGCTATTATCACTGAATAAATGCTAACTCATCTCTGAAATAAGAATGTAAATTTCCACTTCAATGTTTTGGATATGAACTAAGAAATTAAGATGTTTAAAAGGATTTGAATATATATTCTAGATTATGTAAGTCAATGAGTTCTAGACATTATGCACTGAAAGTGTTTTTGATGAACCAAAATCCAAATTTGACAGTGTAGCAGGATACAAAGTCAACACTCAACAATTGAAATTATTTTAGAAAGAGGTCTGAATTCAAGCAACTCATGTATTAAAAAGTATAAATATTTTCTAAGGAATTTTTACTCCACGTTTCTCGAATGCAATAGAAAAAACTTTCATAATTCAGATTAAGTAATAATCAAAAAAGCTAAAAATAACATAGTATGAAGGGACATGAAAATAATCATAAATAAAATATACAAAGTGAAAAACATACTAAGAACCATGATCAAAGACATACTAAGAGCTGATAATTATATAAACCAAAAGTCACTGAACTAAACAAAAAATAATAAATATAAAGTATGATTAAAAAATGGAGTGAGTGTTACTGCCAAGTTCCATCCAAGGGAAAAAGCAGGCTCCTAAAAACATAACAATGTGTCCTCATCCACATTATTCACCAGAGCTGGCACTATGCCTAGCTCTTCTCCAAAGTCAGTAAAGCCATGGGAGGTAAGTGTTTGAATTCAGGATACAGAGGCAGCTGGAGCCATGCTATGATTGAGAACTGCTTCAGAATGTGGCAAGTTCAATGGAATAAGTGTATTTGAATGATGGGAAGTATGTTTAGAGGAATTTAATGACAATTTGTCTTTTATTGTAAATTTTTTAAAAAATTGAGCTTTAACTGGATTCTTTGATCATACCTCAGATAAAATCTGTGATGGGACATCAGCTAAGAGAATAAATGAATTGAAATTGAGATGAATTTGAAAAGAGAAAAGCACATCCTAGATAGGGCTTGACAACACATACAATCATGTATGATGTTTTAGTTTGTGCATATTCTTCATGGACTATAAAAACAATTTAGAACAATTCTATCATCCTTTAATTTTTCTTAATTATCCTCAGTACTTCTAAAATTGCACATTTGACAAACTCGTGCTATTGTGGACTATCACTGGATGAGCAGAAGAGAAACAGCCTTCCCTCCTTGGAGTGTCTCGTTTTAACTTCTCAGTTGTCATCATCTCTTGAAAGCTCTCTGAAGGCATTTGCTCCGAATGGAACTGCCCACCACAGAGACAGAAGCAGGGGAGACGAGTGTGTAACCTGAACAGCATGTGACCCAGTGATGTCAGATAAAGTTTCCTAATTCAGTACATCTTATGGGATGATTTTTTTTTTTTTTTGTACCAAGGATTGACCTCAGCACCTTGCCCTTGTAAGGCAAGTGTGGTGTGACTGAGCTAAATCCCAGGCCGGGGATGGCAGCTTTTGAAGTGGGGACTAACTAGTGACAGGAACTTTGATTAAAGTATAATAGGGTCACATGAAAGATATACAGAATTGTATAGAAGTTAAAGGACCAAGTTTTTATGTAAGAGTGAGCATTTGCCGTAAACATTAGGTAATGTGCCCAATGTTGAAACAAAGACATGGAATAAGGAAGATTTTATGTATAACATAGGATGTCCCGTAAGAAATGGCACAGAATCTGAACTTGTTAAGAATCAACGTTGTTCTTATTTTATATTAGAAACAAAAATCGAGTTGTGATGTTAAGAAATTATGCAGGCAGTTTGAAATACAGAATGCAGCTTTGAAGAAAAATACACCAAATAGTGACAAAAATTAAAGGCTAATAACATAGAATAAGAAAAGTAGATAGACAAGGAATCCTAGAATTTAGAAAAATGCATTTTAGTAAAAAGAAAAATAATGAAAAAATTGATTCTGATAGACTGAGAGCAGGAATTTAAGGTTCAAGAGAATATTATCAAATGCTGCAAGATTGTAAGAGAGAGGGATGGGAATGGGAAAATGATTAGACAAATATAGGAAAGAAAAATGCATTATTGAATTTAATCACTGTATATCCATTGTTGACCTTTAATAGAGTTCTATATGGAGTGATACTTTTCATTTTACTTTTTAAAGTTAAAGTGCAACCTCATTTTTCATCGAAAAATGCTTTCTTCCTGTCTTTCTGAGAGTATGAAAGCAGCTAGCTTCGGAAGGGACTCTTTTCTTTGTGTTGTTGCATAGTAGTGGGTCTTGCCCAGGTAATCTAGAATTTACTAAAATAGATATTAATGTCACAAATATTTTGCCACTATAATAAAAACCTAAAACATATGCCATTGGAATAGGGATCAGGCAGCATATAGTCATACAGTTAGGAAATCTGATAACTTATTCTGCAACTATAGTTTATAAACTGCTGTCTTTGACAACTTGAGAAGCAGAACACATGGTTACTGAGTCTGTACCTTTGGAGAAACATTTAAAAGGGACATAATGCAAATGTATTTTGCCTGTTTCTTGCTGCTATATGGAAATTATTATTACAGTAAAGACAATGTCTCAGACAAGGTTTAACATACTGTTAAGACAATATGAAGGAGAAAGTTCAGAAATATGGGCCTTTGCAGAGTTGGACAATACAATTTATTTTTTATACTCTCAAAGTAGAAATGTAAAAATGTCACTCAAGATTTCTTACTGAGACTTCTGAGGCAAGAAAATGTATCTAAACTCGTATCAAATATAAAGTTAGGTATGTTGTCTTTCACTCCAATCCAGGGAATCAGAGACTTTCAGTTACTTTCATTAAAAGCAGGTGGAAAGAAATGGTTACAGAGAAGCTACAACTTGTTTCATATTTGTACTGAGGGAAAACAAATAGGCCAGTGTCAGGAGCCAGTCTACATAATTTTGGGGAAAAATCATTTTACAATTAAATTATGATTAGGCTGTATGAGGCCTGGTTTTTTTGGGTCCGGGCTGGCTATGGCATGCCTAAGCATAATTCCATCTTGCCTCTGGTCACAGCTGAGGCCTCAATGGTCCCGTGATGCTGTGGTTCTCAAGAGCAAGATTACCTCAGCTGAAGACTTCCTGGTTCTTTGAGAGCTGAGTAGTAATGAAAAAAGAGAAAGGTCTCACCTGGGGAGGGACAAATTCCTTATCAGCTTAACTCATCCCACTGACTGTTATAAGAAGGTTTTTGCTAGTCTTACAGTCCAACTCAATGTAAGTGCTCCTCATCAACATAAGATCCTTATCAGCATAATCATGTCACAGGATTACAGCCACCCTCTGAGTCATCTGATGCTTCCTCTGATTATGAGATCCTCATCAATTTAGGATTATTGTTGTCCTCTGAGTCATCTGATACTCCCTATGAATCTAATAAATAGTGGTAAACTAGGAGTGCCTTTGAATTTACTGTCTAGCCCAGCATTGATGAGGCCCAAGGTCATTTCCATAAGTCTCATTTCCTACCTTTATTCTCTAATTAGCCTTGTGCTGTCATGGCTCACAGGAGAACAGGCCCCACTTCAGGGGTTCTGTTAACATCCCCCTTCCCATTCTCTATAGGCTGGGAGTCTAATAAATTACAAAGTATTCATAAACGTTTCTAAGATACCCGATTCTTTATCTCTAAATGGAGGCTCCTAGAATTGCAACTGCAAAATTTATTTGTTAAATTACTGAATTTTCAAGATTCTACTTCATCTGTGGCCCCAAAAACCTAATGAACATAATGGGGAACCTCTTAAAGATAAAATCATGTGCCAACAAAGAGAACAAAGAGGCTGGTGTCATTCAAAGTCTCCAAACAGCCAATGAATTTATTCAACTTTTCTTTGAGATGGGGTCTCACTATGTAGTTCAGGCTGGCCTTGAACTCATGGTGATCCCAATCTCCAAAGTACTGGGATTACCAGCATGTACCATCTTGCCCAATTTATTCAAATTTCAACAAAGTCAGCCTTTATTATTTTTCTTATAAGGTTATTGTCATTTTTATGGGCTTGTTCATGCTTTTCCCATTCTATTTTCTGAACAACTATAATTCATTTGTTTATTTTTATTACAGGTATTATTTTGTTTCTATTCCACCATTGTATATTATTCTTATTACCAACCTTGAATTCAGGCAAGAGGGCCTGCTGCTTTGGATTCTATGTTTGGCACACATGGCTCTGTCTCCTCAGGCTCACCCAGATCATCAAGGGTAAAATGACACATGGACCAGTGACTCTTGGAGTTCCTGGCTGTACTGATGGACATAACCTGAAGCCCAAGAACCAGCTAAGTGCAATTGTTCAGTGGAGGAATGCATATAATTGGAACTTTCAAGATGAGTGGTCATGCAGTTGACTTTCTAAGAGAGCTGTGAGGAAAAGCAAGGGTCATGTCTGAAGATTAGAAGGGGGCATCCTTTTCTGTGTCATCACATTATTAAAATTTTTATTTTTACTAGTACATGTCTGCAGCACTTAATGATTACATTCTTCATGCAGAGTTGGTTCATGTAGACAGCACATCATAATTCTTTTTTCCTCACCTTCTCTCCCTCCCTCCTCCTTCCTTTCTTCATAGTTTTGAAGTCTAAGATTAAGGTGCTACCAGATTTGCACTCTTTTTCTGGCTAGTGTTCTAATGAAGAGCACTTTCTAACTGTATCTCAGCATGGTGGAAAATATTCTGCCTCACAACTTAGTCACCTATCATATGCCTCACCTTCTACTACTATTACATTGGAGGTGAGGTTTCAACATGATATTTTTTGGATGACACACACATTCAGATGATCGCATGGGTGTATGATGTGCAATCCCCCATTTCTATATTACTTTTGGATGCACACATGTTGAAATATACTTGAACATGTCTGTGCAAAAAGAGGGTAGATGTCTGGGAAAAAAGGAGGCAGATCATTTTTCTATTAGTTTGTAAGTTGCTGCGTTGTGAGATCAGTGACTAGACCTAATGGATAGTTATGTGTATTCTAAGTGTTAGGTTCCAACAGTAATAGGATCAGGCCATTGTTTTTCTCCTTGGGGAAGAGAGTGAGTTTATTTTGTTGGAAGAGTGCACACTAATATTTGGTGGCCATAGAAAAGTCTGCTATTCTGGGAGTGGTTCTCTCTTATCTACTTCCCTGTTCTCTTGGGGAGCACGTGGCTGCACAGCTATGAACTGGTTTTCTTATCCTTACCAGTATAGTAATATATATTTTGGTATATGAATTCATACAAATGTAATGTGAGAAGGAATGAAGAGCGCCTTTTTACCACTAGACTTCTGACCTTGTTCTTTCTGTCTTGTGCTTTTGTGAAGAGTGAAATGTCGGTGTGATGAAGGGACCGCATCAACCATGTTGATAAAGACAAGGGGTGTGAGTATGATGGAATGTATATTGGATAAAAACCAAGTTCTGAAAACACAACAAGGCAGAGTAAAAACTGCCTCACCTTCCAAGTTCACTGGGCTTTTAAGTTGTGCAATGTGCATGAGATAATATTCAGTCTCACTTAAGGTTTCTGTTTTTTCAACAGATTAGCTGAATAAAACAGTTTATCCTAATAAAATTGTTTAGAAAATTAAAATCATGGGCTAATTGTTACTATTTTAAAGTGAATTGGGTAAATAGAGTCATCATTTTGAAAATAAATTTCTCATTGATGTTTAAATGGGGTTGATGAAAGAAAGCCAGACGAATTGTGTAGAAATAACTAGCCCATACCACTTTCAGTTTTTCCTCATATAGCTCCTCACATGCTTAAAAAAAAATGTTAATCAGAAATCTGAGAAAAGCCAGTTTTACATAGTCACATGAGATCCCATCATGGATATCTTTTTCAGCTATCAGGAAAAAAATGATATATACATAAAATTATTTAGTGTACATAAAATAATGTACATGTTACATATAGTATGTAAATAATATATAACACATAGTATATACTATAGTATATATAGATTACATACCATGTGAAGTATATAGAGTAATACTATGTTTTATTCTCCATGGATTTATAAATATGTAATGTAAATTCATTTACTAATTTCTAAAACTCCCAGAATTTGTTTGCTGGAATTTTTAAAAGTTTGAATTGTTATAATTTACAAAATAGAAAAGAAATTGTAGATCTGCTAAAATTGGATTGTAAAGAGTAAATTACAAGAAAACACCCAGAAGAACAGCATTAATTCTCTGAATGTATAGGTGAATTTGACATCTGTGAGGACCTAATGAGATACATGCTTTACATCTAATTTGTCATGCATTCCTTTTTGGAAGTCTTAAGCAGAGACACCTTCTAAATCTATCATTAGGTCAGAATAAGTCAATATATAAAAATTCAGAATCAGATGTTTTTAAAGATATTTCATATGAAATGTGGTATCTTCTATAGAAGGAAAGAGATGGTTTGAAATCTTGATTCTGCCAATTAATGCTTGTCAACTTTAACATTTACATCCATTCTCTAGAGCTATGTTCATGTTCAAAACTTAGGAGTCAAAAATACAGTTTTGGTCTGGCCATTAGTGATTTTGTTTTTTAGACTGTGCTTGCCCTTTATTTTGTTCTACAGAGGTTATTTTGTAATTTCTACCTCCTTTTAGATTTTAAATCTAGTTTTCTCATTATCAGCTTAAATATAGACCAATTCACTTCCAAACACCCAATAAAGCAATTTAGTCAGTAATACAAACAAACAAGAATTGGGAGTGAAGAGCTCCAACATTCAAGTCTAACTTGGGTCTGTTTCTATGATAAAATTTGAATTTTGCTCTTTTTGGAGAAAACACTTGTGTTTGCTCTTTCAAAATTGGTCTGCATAGTTCATTACTTGTAATTATGCAAAATGATATTTTTCTCATTTAACAGCCATGATTACATTTTCTGGGATGCATACATTTATAATGATAAGCAATAATCAGTACCTAATAAGTAATATTTTATTGTGTTATAAAATATTCTCCCAGATACTCACTTAAATTTAATGATATATTTGGAAGTTAGATACTCTTTATATTAATACCTGTTCCCAAATTTATATTCTTCCACCAAGGAGATATGTTTCTTGTACATTCTTATGAAATTGTTCAAACTTGTCCTGGCATACTTTACCCTTTAATCCATCGAATTTTATTTCTTTAAAGTGATGTTTCATTGTAACTACTGATTTTTCTCTATTAAGGAATTATGTTTCAAAGTATTTAATTTATTTAATTGGTCACTGATATTTTATGTATCATAATTTTAAATTAAACTTGTAGGAATAAGTATGATTATGAGATGTTTGCACAAATTTTTTGCTAGTGTTTTATTATGCTTTCACTTGTGTTCATATAAGAGATTGAGTATTAATGTTTCTGTACCTTTTTAAAAATACTGAATGCCACAGGGATGGGGATTTAGCTCAGTGGCCACATGCCTGCCCCACAAGCACAAGGTCCTGAGTTTGGTCCTTGGTCCAAAAAAAAAGCAGAATAACATATACTTCAAAATTTGAACTTGAAATGTACAGCTTAATAAATTTATAAAAAAGGAAGTCAATAATGTAGTAATCATGGATCAAGTGGTTGAATTCTATGAGCCTTTTAGATGCTTTTCTTGTGACTTCCTCTAATCACTATCCTCAGAGGTATTCAGGGCTCTTATTCATCTAAACAGGAGTTGTTTTGGATATTTAAAATAATACAGTATTACAGACATATAATATATGCCTTTTTTATATGTCTTTTTTCATATAAGAGAAAACGTGTGTTTTAAGCTTGTGTGTCTGAGTTACTTCACTCAATATCATGGTCTTAAGGTACATCCATTTTTCTACAAATGACTCGTTTATCAATTTTTATAGATAGTAGTACTCCATTGTGTATAAATATCACCTTTTTCATCTGTTGCTTGACATATAGGCTGTTTCCACTATTTAACTATTGTGAATTGTGTTGCTACAAACATGGGTATGCATATATCAGTGTGGTATTGGTTTGATGTCTTTTATTCTTTTGGGAGTATACCTAGAAGGAGAATACCTGGATGAAATGAAATTTCTAGTTCTAGTTATTTAAGGAATCTCAATTCTGGTTTCTATAGTGGTTGTATCAGATTACAGTCCCACTAGCAATGGAGAAGTTTTTCTTTCTCCCCACAGCCTTGCCAGCATTTGTTATTGCTTGATTTCTTGATGGTAGCCATTCTTTCTGGAGTGAGATGGACTCTCAGTGTTGTTTTACTTTGCATTTCTTAAGTAGACAGCAATATTGAACATTTTTTAATGTATTTACTGACCTTTAATATCTCTTCACCTGAGAAGCATCTGTTCATTTCAATGCCCATTTTAAAATTTATTCATTAATTTGGAGCATCGAAGTTTTTGAGTGCATTATATATTGAGATATTAGTCCTCTGAGGACTAATATATTCTGTAGGTTGTTGCTTCCCTCTATTAGTAGTTTCCTTTGCTTTGCAGGAACTTTATAATTTGATGAGATCCCATTTGTTGATTCTTGGTATTATTTCTTATGCATCTGTGGTTTCCTTCAGAAAGCCTTTGCCTACACCTATGTCTTCAAGAGTTGTACCTGTTTTGTCTTCCAGCAGATTGTTTCTAGTCTAATGTTTAAATCTTTGATCCGTTTTGATTTTAGTTTATTGCATGGAGAGAGATATCAGTCTACATTAAACTTGCAACATATGCATAGGCAGTTTTCCCAGTACCATTTGTTAAAGAGGCTATCTTTTCTCCAGTGAAGAGATTTGGCTCCTTTGTCAAAAATAACATAGCTGACTGTGCCTGGAGTTATTTATTTTCTATTCAGTTCTATTAATTCATGAGTCTGCTTTTTGCCAATACCATGCTAGGATTTTTTTGTTTGTTTTTTGTTGTTTTTTTTCTGGTACTGGGGATCAAATTCAGGACCTTGTGCTTGCGAGAGGCAGGTACAGTGTCACTGAGCTAACTCCGTGGCCCACCATGCTATTTTTTATCAATGTAGCTTTGTAGTGTAACTTGGAAGTCCAACATTGTGATGACCTCTGATTTGTCCTTGTTGGCTAGAAATGACTTTGCTATTCTAGATCTCTTATGGTTTCATTAGTTTTAGGGTTGCTTCCTCCAATTCTGTAAGGAATCTTATTAATATTTTGATTGGGATTACATTAAATCTATATAAAAGTTTTGGCTTTATTGCCATTCTGACTACATTTGTTCTTCCTATCCAGTTACAGGTGGTATCATTCCATTTTCTGATATCTCTCCGATCTCCTTTTTCAGAGTAACATAGATTTCATTGGAGAGGTCTTTCACTTCCTTGGGTAGATTAATTCCTAAATATTTCATTTTCCTTTATGCTATTGTGAAGAGTATTTTCCCCCTGATTTCCCTCTTGGTGAGTTTGTTATTGGCATGCAGGAACAATATTGATCTTTGAGTGTTGACTCTGTATCCTGCTACCCTGCTGAGTTTGGATATTAGTTGTAGGAATCTTTTGGTGAAGTTTTTGGGGTCATCTATGTAGAAGATTATGTTATCAGCAAATATTAAAAAGTTTACTTCTTCCTTCCCTGTCTGTATACCTTTTTATTTCTTTCTCTTGTCTAATTGCTATAGCTAATATTTCAAGAACTGTACTCAACAGAAGTGGTGGTAGTTGATATCTTTGTTTTGTTCCTGATTTTAGAGGGAAATCTTTCAGTTTCTTTCCATTTAGTACGATGTTGGCAGTTGGTGTGTCAGAAATGGCCTTTACCAGATTGAAATAAAGAGCTTCTATTCCTTTTTTCTACAATATTTTAAAAATCATTAATAGATGCTTAATTTTGTCAAATCCTTTTTTCTGAGTCTATTGAGATGATAATGTGATTTTTCATCCTAACATCTGTTTATGTGATATATTATATTTATTGATTTGTGTATGTTGAATCATCCCTGCATCCCTGGAATGAACCTTACTTGGTCATGATATATGATCTTTTTAATGATTTACTGCATTCTGTTTGCCAGTATCTTACTGAGAATTTTTGCTTCTGTGTTCATGATAGAGATTGACCTGTGATTCTCTATTTTAGTTGCATCTTTTTTTTCTGGTTTTAGAATCAGGGTAATGCTTGCTTCCAGGAATGATTTTGGGAGTGCTGGTTTGCTTTTTATTTCATTAGAGATCTTAAGGAGTACTAATAGTAAATCTTCTCTCAAGTTTTTGTAGAATTTGGCAGTGAATCCACTGGGATCTGGGCTTTTCTTAGTCTTTATATTACTTCTTCAGTTTCAATGACTGATATTAGCTTTTCAGGATTCTTATATCTTCTTGGTTCAGGTTTGGTAGTTCATATTTAATTGAAATTTATTCATTTTCCCTGAATTTTCCATTTTATTAGAGTTCAGATTCTCAAAGTAGTTACCAATAATCTTCTGGATTTCAGGAGAATCCATTGTGATTTAACCTTTTTTTTAACTTCTGTTTATGTGGATTTGGGTCTTCTCATTGCATATTTTGGCAAGATTAGCTAGTTTGTCTATTTTGTTTAATCTTTCAAAGAACCAACTCTTGGATTCATTGATTCTTTGCATTTTTTTTTAGTCTCAGTTTCATTAATTTCTGCACTGATATTTATAATTTCCTTCTTCATATTACCCTGGGGTTCAGATTACTCTTGTTTTTCTAGGACCTTGAAGTAGATCATTAGGGTATTTATTTTAGCATATTCTATTTTTCTGATGTGTGAATTCACTTCTATGAACTTCCCACTTAGAATTCCTTTCATTGCATCTCATAGGTTCCACTATGTTGTACTGGGTTCCAGGAAGATGGCAGAGTGATGAGCAGCAGCAAATCAGCCTCTCCAAGATTCAGACTCTAGACACTGGAAAACATCAACTTGGGGATGAAAATAAGGAGGGAAGTGGGACCATGAGACTCAGGAAAGAACTGATGGGAAAACTGGAGTCTACAGAGAAATTGAAAGGACAGACCACAATGCAGAAAAAGGAAGGGACAACCTGCACTTTGTCCCCAACTGCTGGCTCCTGGCTCCTGGCTTGTGAGAAAGGAAAATCGAATGTATAGTGACACAGTGAAAGGGAGCTATTCCCAATAGCAGGGAGAAGTGCACTAGTGGAATTGAGTAGTAGGTGCTGTGCAGTACAGCAGCTGGTGAGGGGCTCCAATCCAAGGGTCTGCCATATCCCCTGGAGAGAGTGCTCAGTCAGACGCCATTCCAGGCAAGGGTCAACTGAACCTGGAACTAAGAGCAGCTGTGAGTTGGCTTCAAACCAGGGCACTCAGTGTTAAAATCCTACAGTGACTGGGTGAGGCACAACCATGGGAGATGTTCAGGGAATCATGGTCCGGCTGAAAAGAGACACCCAGAGTGTTTTAAGCTAAACAATTCAGGCCCTGGTCCCATGGCCAGAAGAAAGGTTTGGGCTGAATTTTTATGGATCTGAAAGCCTCAGAACTGGCACCCCACTGTAATCCTACTGCCAGTTTGCTGGTGATTACTTACCTATCATGGATCTGGGCAATGACTTCCAGCTTTGTCTATCAGTGAAGTGATCCATTGAATTGGACACGGCCACAAAACTAGACTCCAGAAGATAATCACAGGTTGGAATTATGGAGAAATTTCTTTTTTTTCTTTGCTTTAAAATTTTTTTTCTTCAATTCTTGTTTTTTAAAAATTGTTTGACTTCTGTGCGTGAACCTTTTTAGTGTTTCTGTTATGTTTTCTTCTTGTTTCTGTTTTTTTCTTCTTTCCTTCCCTCCTGACTTCAGTTTCCTGAGTCTGAAGTAATATTCTTTCCTTTAGCCTTGCTTATAATCTTTTCTTCTTTTATTTCTGAACTTTTTCCTCTCCACCCTTTTAAGTTTTCTCCCCTTAATGACTTCTTCTTACTCTCTCTATAATTTATTTTTTCCTTGTTTTTCTTTTGTCTTCTATTTTGGTCTAACTTTTACATAATTATATATATATCCTGTTACTCCCTGATAAGATCCTTTGTACCACTTCTTTCTTTTCCTTCTCATATTAGAGTTTAGAGTTTCATAGTTTTCCTTTTGCACCCCAATTCCCCAAAACTAAATATTGAATAGAATAACCATAAAGTTTTGTTAATAATTTAATAGTCTGTAAAATTACTGCTGAATTCTTTCCTATCATAGCAGAGATATAGCTGTAACATTTAGTACATGTTAGCAATAAACACCTGGGTTGCCTTAAAGTTTACATCATAATTGATCATATCTTCTCTAGGAATAAGGGTGGTACATGACCAGTTCTTATGTATATTAATATCTAATTTTTCTTGGGCAATACTACTGTAGCTGTTTCACTTTATATTAATAGGTCCACATAATTGTCACTATTTCTCTGTAAGCTACACTCAGGTTGCCTTGCTGACATTAACAATCCTAGAGTACATTCTCAGAGAACTTGGTTGCTGGGCTAATTATACTGCATCCTTCTTTTCCAAAATCACTAAAGTGATTGAATCTTAGGGCTGTGGCAAAAGATTATAGGTAGCCACACTTAAAATATATCACTGAAAAGAAACTGAAGAGATGTCTATACTAACAACAAAATCTTTAGACTATAAGCACCCACAAATCTTAGCCCAAAACAAACAAATGAATTAATAGAAACATGGGAAGAAAAGGCAACCAAAGTCCTCCTCAAAACTCCAGGTCCCCCAAAGGCATTTCAAGGGGCACCAAGGGGCAGAATAGTATAAGTCAAACACCTGAATTACTAGAAAGCATAGCATAAGATGATAGAAAACAGCTCACTCAAAGAGATCGTCAGCAGGATTAGAGAAGATATAACTAATTATATAATGGAAATAATAACCAAAAAGATCAAGAACTCTCAGAAGTCACTCATACAAAGTTAGATAAGCTAAACAAAATGAAACAAAACATGAATGACCAGTTTAACAAAGAATTAGAGTGTGTGAAAAAGTTTCAATCAGAAATCTAGGAGATAAAAATTCATTTTGAAAGTATGGGTAGCAGGATGGATCAAAGGGAGGACAGAATTTCAGAGATAGAAGACAATAATGCTTTCAAAGATCATCTACTCAAATACACTTTAAAAATGGAAATAGAAAATAAAAAATTGATCCAAAAACTGCTAGATGATGCAAAGAAGACTAATCTACAAATAATTGGAATAAGTGAAAAGTTAGACGGCATTATAAATGACATAAAAGACCTGTTCATAGAAATAATGGCAGAAAACTTCCCACATATGTGTAAAGGAAAAAGTACACAGATAAGTGAAGCATATAGAACATAAAACAGTCATGACCAAAGAGAACTTCTGAGTGCTACATTATACTCAAAATTCCAGAAGTCCATCACAGGGACAAAAATATTAAAGACTGTTAGAGGAAGGCAACAAATTACATTAAAAAATAAACCCATTAGAATCACAGAAGACTTCTCTACATAAACCTAAAGGCCAGGAGAGTTTTGAGTGCAGTGTTTCAAGCCTTGAAAGATAACAACTTCCAACCTCAACTTATGTATCCTGCAAAACTATCCTTTAAAATTGATGGAGAAATAAGGTATTTTCATGACAAGGAAAACTTTGAGAAATTTATCACTACTAAACTATCATTATAAAAATTATTCTAAAGAATTTCCTAGAAGGGGATAATGAAGCCAACAATGTCAAAAAAAGAATGAGTATACCTAGAAGGGTGACCAGATAAGCAAAAAGGGAAAAATGAGAAAATCAGCAATAAAAAAATAACACATGACAAGAATAAGTCAATACCACTTATTAATAACTCTCAATGTGAGTGGTCTCAGTTCCCCAATTGAAATATACAGATTGGAAGAATGGATCAAATAAGAAAACCCAACAATATGCAGCATATTTAATTCAAACATATTTAATTTTTAAAGTACAGATTAAAAATCAAAAGATGAGGGCCAGGGATTTAGCTCAGTGGTTTTGCCACCTGCTGTGCAAGCACAAGGATCCGAGTTCGATCCCTGGTACCAAAAAAAAAAAAAAATGAAAAGATGAAAAACAATATTCCAAGAGATGTGAACCCAGAAAAAATCAGGAATCGTTACCCTAATTTCAGATAGAATAGACTTCAAGCCAAAACTGATCAGAAGAGACAAAGCCAGTCACTACATACTAGTTAAGGGAACAATTCAACAGGAAAATTTAACAATTATAAACATATACACACCAAAAAATAAAAATAAAAGGTAAACATATGCACACCAAATATTGGTGCATCCAGCTATATACAGCAAACAATAATTGGTATAAACATCAAAACAATAGTAACAGGGGACCTCAATACCCAACACTTACAAAAGGACAGATCAACTAGACAAAAAATCAACCAAGAAACATCAGCGTTGAACCAAACCTTTGAACAAAGGCATGTAACAGATATCTACAAAGTGCTCCCAACCAACAATAAAATATATATTCTTCTCAGCAGTACATGGGACTTGGTCCAAAATACATCACAAACTAGCCAATAAAGTATGATTAAGTAAATGCAAAATAATTTTCCCATTCATACTATCAGATCATAATGCAATGAAATCAGTGGCAAAAAGCCATATAAACCATGAAAACACATGGAAATTAAACAGTTCTCTCTTGAATAATCAATGAGTCACAGATGAAATTAAAAAAGAAATTAGTTTATACAATCAGGCTTTTGCCTTTCAACTGGATCCTTTATACTTTCAGCACACAGACAGCCATTTTTCACTCTTCCACATCTGACTCTTCAGGTGACCACTGTACTCTACTTTGTAAATCATAATAAATTTATTCCTCTAGTGGCCTTCAACAAATACAAACTCTATATTATAGTACCTTTTGGATATTAATCCAGACATGCAGTAAGGCTAGGCATCAACTTGAGATGAAAACTACTTAAAGTCTTCTCAGATACTTGCTGAGCATATGTCTTGCCCTGACATATACATGGCTTTTAAAATTATTCTGTAATTCTGAGTGCTTTTGAATGTTCTCAGTTTCTACAAAATGCTACCTTCCTCTCTGCCTTTCTTCCCAGGGGTCAGGAGGCCTACTATATATCTAAAACTTAATGTTTTTCTCCAGGCATTTTTGAATTTTTATGCCATCTTGACAAGATTTACAGTAATCTTTACTTCTTTCCCAGTCTGTATTTTGAGTAATGTGACTGATTGATTAGCATCTGCTTAGTTTTTTGGGTAGTCTTCAAAGATTTCAAAGTATAAATATACAAAATGATGCAAATGTGTTCTTATTCTCTTCTCTCCAGAAACTGGCACTAGGGTCCTTCACTGAGAAGTCTGCCTTCTTGACTGTCACCATGCCATGGGAGAGGTAGAGGAAGGGTAAGGAAAAACAAAACACCACAAGTATTTTTTCTTTTATATGTTGCCTCAGTTTTGAGTCAGCATTTGATTTATTGTCATTTAACTGTTTCTTTTTTGTTTTCTTTTCCTGATAATGTTGGATCTGCTTATACTACTTTCAGTGTTTTTGGTGGCCCTGTGTTGGGGCCAGTTATTCCATTTTACTGAAGTTAGTACTTCTGAGTCTGCCTCATGATTTATAATGCTCAGTACTCCAAAGAGAGGACAAGCTGGTTTAAAGGTGATAAATTGTTCAAGTCACTGAAGCTGGGGTAACCAACAGTTTTCTCTCCAGAGGACTAGGAAAGAATCCTACTTTGAAGACTGGGAGGCACTTAGAGTTCTGTGATTTAGTTTTTTGGTCCATTAGTTACTTAGCAATATGTTGCTCCCACATGGTTGTGATTTTTTTGTCAGTAATTTCTACGTTTATTTCACTGTGGTTGGAGTATGTATGTGTTATGATTTTTGTCCTTTGCATTTGGTGATATTTATTTTATAGCTTGATAATCATTCTGCTTATGAAAATGTTCCATGAGAACTTGGGAAGAATACATATTTGGTTTTGGGGGATCAGGTGTTCAATAAATATACAATAGGTCATTTGATTTAAACATTGTTTACTTCTATTTCTTTGTTAATCTTCTGCATAGTTGCTATATACTTTATTTAAAAAGGGGTACTGAAGTGTCCAATTATTATTGCAGAAATTTCTTTTGTACCTTCATTTATGTCAGTTTTGCTCAATGTAATTGGCTCTTTCTATTTAGGCCTATTTTCATTTATAAATGTAATATTTTCCTTTTACTGATGTCTTTATAATTTTAAATGTTCCCCTTTATCTTTAGATATATCTCTTTTGTGTTAAACACTATTTTGCTAGAAATACTCTGTTGATCTTAATACAGTTCCTCCAGCTTGTTTTTTGATTTGTTTTTGTTTTTGTTTTTTTGGTGAGTGCTTCCATGGAATATCATTTTGCATTAGTTCACATTCAATCTATTGAATGTTGTGTTTTACTTGTAGAAAAATATATATATGGGTGATCAACATAATACAGTGAATGTTTGAATATAAATTTTTATTAGAGTAAAAGACACAGTATGATAAATCTCCCTCAAAATGCTCTTCCTCACTTTGAATGCACTTATTCTACCATAATTCCCACTGCTGAAGCATTTCTTTAAGTCCTCTTTTCTGAATGTCTTTATGAGGATGATCAAAATTCATTGAATGCTGCTACTGAGTGCCATCTACTGGAAAGGCAAGCTCAGAACAAAACATTATAATCTCTTTTCATCCACTTTATTCATCAGATCTGGGCACTGTAGGACCTCTGGCTTCCTCAAAGTCAAGATGACCATGAAAGGGAAGCATTTTGAATGCTTCAGCTCAGCACATTGAGGTACCAACAACAGTCAAACTAAAAGCACAGTCAACCCAAAAGACACTCAAGAAAAGATTTACAGAATTGTTTCAGAAAGCAGCAAAAACAATGGGATAAGGTTGTTCAAAGTTAAGGGAATATTTTAAGGTTAATTAATTAATGGTAATGTCTCTTATTGTAATAATTTTTGAACATATATGATTGTTTAATTATACTTTATAAATTAGGCTACTTTTTAATAATCTGGTCTGGCAGTTTCTGCCTTTGCATTGGATTGTTTAATCCATTCACATTTAATTTACTACTGATATAAATTGCATTGTGTCTGTCATTTTGGTATTTGCTTCATACAATTAATATGTCCATTTTTCTTTGTATTTTACCTTTACTAGTTTTTTCTACACTATATTCACATTTTTATTGTAAGTTATGAATTTCGCTAGTAAGTTTTCATGTATTTTAAAAAATGTTTTACATAGCACTTGCTCATAAAATTTGTGGATCCAAGATAACTTTGTTACCTTTATTTTCTGATATGTAAAGCTTTATTTTTGCTTACATTTACCTGGAAACTATTATTAACATATACTAAACTTTCCTAGTTATTATTTTTTAAAGAGTGGGTAAATAAATTGGATAGGAATTTAATCTGGTGTATTAATCATTTGTTTGAGTGGAATTCTATCAGAGTATATAAATTCCCAACTTTATTCCCTGCACCCAGTATTAAAAAATCTTATATAGTGCAAAACATTTACAGAAAAATGATGTACATATAATGCAAATCATGGGAGAAAAGAGTAAGAAGAATGTTCTATTATTAAATTTTTTCATCCACTTGGATTGTGGTGATATGAAATCTGTGGGATGCACATAATAATGCAGAAGTTATGTTTTCTATTTATTATCATTTAGCTTTTTATCTTTTCTTATAATCATTTCTCTCATTCTTTTGCTGTTATAATTTTAACATTAAAATGTCTCTATTAGTTACAAATTACTTATTGTACCTTATCATGTAACTTGATATTTATTATTATTAGAACCCAAAAATATAAATGCATTTTAATGAAGTGACCGATAAAATTTATGTATTAGTCAAGAGTATCAGATTCAAGCATTGAAAATTAAATTCAAAAGAAAGGAAAATATTTTTAAAGACACTAAAACAGATTTTCTGTTATTAACACTTTTATTTAATGTTATTACTAGTTTTGGAAAATGTGCTAAAATACTGCTGAGCGAAGTTATTTTTATATTTGAAGTGTAATTTACTGCGCTTGAGGTTGGAAATGGATTATTATAACATTGAATTTTTTAAGAATCCTTGCTATATGTATAAACATCATCATAATTTCAGTAACAATAAATTATTCTGATTGTAACACATAGTATACTTTTATTACTATGAATTCTCAGAGTAACATGAGAATATATAAATTATTTCAGTTAAAACTCATGAAATATTTGAAATGTTTGAAATAATAATAATAAAATTAAATTCTAAGACATTAACAGCTGTCTTTTTGTCTAATGTTAACTATGTCCATTTGAAGCTCCTGTTTAACTTGATCGATGATATCCCACTTTAACTCAAATGCAGTCTCTTAAGTGATTTGTCCTCTATCATTTCTGTAACTTTTAAAAATGTCACATTCCATATTGATATACACTTCCTAAATAGATTTTACAAATTTTACTTTATAAAAATTCTCTCTTTTACAACCTGCTTGTTAAATTTAATATTCATTTAGTTTAATATTCACAACTTGATATTAGCTTCAGTTCACTGATTTTTATGCATTATTAGTCCATCTTATTTCATGCAAAAATATTATCCCATATTCCCAAATTTCCCTTATACAAATAGAAATTCATCCTTTATTTTTGTTAGATTTTTTCCTTTATGTATATCTATATAGATACATCTACATATATATATATATAGATAGATATCTATATAGATGAACTTTTTATTACTTTTTGACTGGTAGATTTTTCTACATATTATAAATAATAATAAAGTTTATAGAATGAAAATATGATTTCACATAGTAGGAAAATTTTGAGGAGCAAATATCTAAAATATTGATATGGCCAAATTTATCAAACATTACTTTATCTTTTGCTTTTTTTTTTTTGGTTTTTTGAGACCAGCTCTCACTTTGTAGTTCAGGCTGGCCCTGAACTCACTATGTAGCCCAGGTTAGCCTCGAACTTGTAGCAATCTTCCTGCCTCTGCCTCCCAATTGCTGAGATTACAGGCCTGTTGCACAACGCCCAGATCTTTTGCTTTTAAGTCACATTTAATAAATTTTTCATAATCTCATTATGAAGGTGGCATACTGTTCTGAAAATGTAGAGGTATTTTCCATTCAGATATAGCTTTCATATATTTGGAAAATTTTTATTTTTAAATACTGCCTGAGATTGTTATGTTTTGGCTCTTTTTTGTATTATTTGTTTTAGTACTATTTTTGGAATTTATCCAGACATTAACTTATACTATGTAAAGACTCAGGATATGTGAAGACTTAGTTTGGTTCCTCACTTTGTTACCTTTTTAATTTGTCAGTGTTTATGCCAGTACTTGATTTTTTTTTCCTGTCAAATATATTGCATGTCTTATACTATCTCTTAGCAATAAGTTAAAACATTTATACTCCATTTCTATCTCTCACTGGCTATTTTTTAAAATTTTTTTATTTTTATTATATTTATTCCATTTATTTATTTTTATTACATTTATATCTGTCTTCTCATTTGATTTGTTACTATTCATTCAACTAATATTTGTTGAGCACCTGCTATGTGCCAGGGACTATGTTGACCCTTGGGGCTAATTCAAAACATTGGGTTTTGAGCTGTGGTTCTCCACCCTGGCTGCACAGTAAGACTCCAGATGACCAGAGTGGGTGAAAAACTTGTATGAGGTACTACAAGGGGTTGGAGATGTGGGGAGAAGCAAGCAGTGGGGAGAAGCAAGCAGTGGCTAGGCCCGTCTTGGCCTTACAGCCTCTTTTCAACTTCTATCTTGAAATAATTTTAAGCCTGAAGTTAGAAAAATAGTAAGAGAATTCCCATAAACCCTCTACCTAATTTCCCCTAATGTTAACAACTCACGTAAGTATAATAAAATGATTCTAACAAGGAGATAATGACATAATACTATTAACTAAACTATAGTGCTTATTCGCAGTTCACCAGTTTTCCCCTGACATTTTTTTTTCAATGTGCATGGAATCCAGGGGCCACAGCTGCCCCACGTTGTTACCTCTTCTTGATCTCCTCCACCCTGTGACAGTTTCTCAACTTTGTCCTGCATGAACTTGACATTTCAGAAGAGCACTGGCCAGTCATGATGTGTAGTTTCTCTTGATTTTAGTTTGCCTCATGCTTTCTTAGGATTCGTCAAGATTGTAAATTTCTTGCAAGAATTCCACAGAAACTATATGTCATATTGATGGGATGGCCAACCTTAATTGCTTGGGTGTCTACCAGATTTCTCCCACTGTAAAGTGATTATTTTAGTCTTTTTCTTAAGAGACAAGGGATCGACTTGAAGAATTTTAAACAAGGGAAATGACTTGTTTAGATTTGTTTCAAAATCAGCCCTTCTAGTTGCAGCATACAGAATAGATCAGAAGGGGCTAGAGGTCAGGGGGAGTAGCTCAGTGGTAGAGTGCTTGCCTAGGGTATACATGACTCTGGGTTTGAGCCCCAGTATTGTACCTCAAAAAAGCAGGGGAGGTGGCTAAAATATATGTAGGGAAGATTAGGTGGCTGTACATGATATGTGATGATGGAAAGGGGCAGTGGGCACAGATTTTGTATTTAGAAGGTAAAGTCATAAGGCAGGCTAATGAAGCCAGGCAGAGTTGATTGTAATTAGTCTCCAGTTGGACTAGAAATCTAGTTTAAAAGCATCTAGAGTTATGTTTGTCTACAGGTAAAGTCCAGGGCTGCTCCACATAGTCCTAAGATGAAAAACAGCTGTTCAGACTGGCTGAGCTCAAGCTGCCCTGCACAGCTCAGGACATGTGGAATAAAGATGGGAGAGTGGGTCCCCTACCATCCTTTCACAGTCCAGAGAGGGCTGACAGCATCACTGGGCTGCGGACAGAGAGGAAATTATGAAACTAGAGTCTGGAAAAATGCTCTTCAGCACAGCACAGCTCCCCAAGGAGAAAATACACTTCCGTTGCATTCAGACTTCCTGCAAACGATGAATAATCATTTAATATGTCCCAAATATTGCATGGAACATATTTATACTAAACATTTATGTCTATCTGAAATTCAAATGTGATTGGGTAATACTTTATTTTTACTTG